TTTGGTATCACTCATGATTCTTGAACTTAGCACTCTATAAAAGACAAAGCCAATAGCACTGTCAATGGGTTCAAAATTAAAATATCTCACCTGGTTTTTCTAATATAATAATTATATTATTTACATGTATTTTATGAAATTGTTTATGGATGTTTTTGTATCTGAGATCAGACTTTACTAGAGAACAGAAATGAAGGAGGCCATAACAATGGAGGAAATGTCTAGTACATCCTGAGCAAAGGATGCCTGATACCTGACTTGTCTGCATCAGTCAAAGCCTTGTTGAAGTCTTCATTTCGTGCACTGCCATAGTCATCCTTAATCCTTTCCAGTTCTGTCTGAACGGGGCTGAGTCCATCCAGGACCACACTTGTGATATCGTTGGCCTTTCTGATCATGCTCTTTGCACCATTGATTGTACTGTCAATGTCGCCTAATGCACACACAAATAAAGAGGTGTAAGATTCTGAAATGTTAACAGAAGAAGGCAAACACACTGGTCCAGGGAGATGCTGACCTCTCTGTATCCCACGAAGATCATCGTGGACAGAGGTGAGGTTGGTGTCTATCAGTTCTTTCTGAACCTTTATGATATTCAAGGTTTGCTGCAGGTTGTTGAGAGCTGGACTAATTTCTACAAGAAAATAAACATGAGGAGGCAATGACTTTATGGATTTTGATTATCCATTGTTGTCTGTGATCACTAAAATAACCATGTTTGATCAGCACTGAGCAGACCTGTGTCTTAGGGCTCATTCCACAGTGCTTATTGTGTGTGCCTAGACTTGCAGCTCTGAGGTCCTCTGGTCAGAGGGGCCAGAAGCACAACAGAACCTTGTGGTGACAAGTTCCTAGGAAATGCATACAAAAAGGGAGAGACTGAACAACTTATGGGGGCAGAAGACTCCGCTCAGTGAAGGAAGAACCTGTCTTATTCCCTGCTGTGCCCTCTACAGTGCGGTGTCTGGCACTAGTCAGAGCTTACTGTTATCACCTATTTGTTCAATGAATGAATACATGAAAGAAAGAATGAATAATGCAAAAAGAACGCCTCTTCAGACAGAATACAAGAAAGCAGTGTTTTCGAGAGCGCCCCATCCAAAGGACACAAAGTAGACATTGTCTGATTGTGTTCACTTCCAAACTGACACGTTAAAAAAATTCCATGAGAGGCAAGGCACTAACTAGCAGACATTCCTAGTTACTAAGATTGCCATCTTTGGACCATGGAAAAATGAGCAGAAAACACTGTAAAACCATACAAATAATTTACATGATTGTCCCATGGCTGCTTTATTCACCAATATACTTAGTGCTCTGACCTACTGTAAACACTGATCTTGGGCTGGGGGTGTGGGTCATGGAAGAGTGCATGCTTAGCACATGCTGGACCCTGGGTTTGATTCCCAGCACTTCAAAAAACAAACAAAAACCTCTAGAACCTTACCTCCAAGCTCAAATTTTATAAAGACAGCAGATATCATACCTTTAAACCTTAATTTTTAAAATTTGCTGGGTGAATGACCGTGTATTTGTACGTATTTTTTCTGTATTTTATTTTTCATGTGTTTAGCTCTTTAAAATGCTTACTAAGTAAATTTACAAAAGCATCATCTAATCCCTCTGAAAGGACTGAGAAACTGAAAGAGGACCACGGGCTCAGATGCCTGCTCAGCCAGGGATGCTCATGAAAGACCAGAGAAATTCGAGAGACAGCATTTTCACAACACAGGAGCTTGGTAAGTTTAAGACAACTTCGTTCTTAATTCTAAAAAAAATAACTAAATTAATGAAATAGAGGAAAATTTTCTAAAAATAAATTCATACTTCAAAAAATCTCCATG